CAATACCTTATTCAAACTTGTTCCAATCATCAAAACACCTCAAACAACATCAAATTACCCAAAGCTCATCGAATTCAAGCCTAAGTTTCTAAAATCTTTCGAAACACGCTTTTGATCAAAACCCAACCAAACCACGTCCGAATGACCTAAAATTTTGTACGCACATCCCAAATGACACAACGAAGCTACTAAAACTCTCAGAATTCCATTACAACCGTTATATCAAAATCTCACCTATCAATCGGAAATCGCCAAAATATCAGCTTCGCCAATTCAAGCCAAATTCTACTCCGGACTTCCAAAACCCATTCCAATCATGCTCCTAAGTCATAAATCTCCTCCTGAAGCTAACCGAACCATCAAAACTCGCATCCGATCCCTCTAACACATAAGTCAACATCTAGTTGACTTTTCCAACTCAAACCTTCTTAAAAGAGACTAAGTGTCTCATTTCTTACCAAATCCTTTCCGAACTCAAATTGATTAACCCAATCACATAAAATACGGATAACGAACCATAAAGAAGCATAAATGAGGGAAACGGAGCGGTAACTCATGAACGACTGGCCGGGTCGTCACACTAGGAGGTCACAAGTTTGAGCCGTGGAAATAACCTCTTATAGAAATGTAGGGTAATATTGCGTACGATAGACCCTTATGATACGACCCTTCCCCGGACCCCGCGCATAGCGGAAGCTTAGTACACCGGGTTGTCCTTTTTTTACATATTAACATGAAAGGCTTGGATGGTATTTAAGACCAATTTATGTTTGAACATTTTGTGCATTATATGGCTATGATCTATATGTGATTGCTGGCCTAGGTGATGTTGTTGCAATTGTGGTGATTCAAGAAAGTCTAAGTTCAAGAACACTTACCTTTTTTCAGGAAAAAGAAAGTACAAGTCCAAGAAGAAAAGTGTCAAGGGTTTACTCTGCTATCCATTCCAGTTGTATGCCTTCTCACTAAAAAATTTGTCTCTCCAACAGTAAGTGAACTGAAGTCATTTGGTATAATATTGATGAAAATTAATTATCATTTTCTAATTCTAATCACATTTTTTTGCAGCTTAACAAATTTGCAAGCATGTGGTTCATGGCTCTCTTCCTTCCAATCATAGTCACTAGTTTGCTCGAGCTGCAATTAGAGTAGACTATGCAATGAGGTCTGGTGCGTATTGTGATTGAAGCTATTTTAGTAGGCACATCTTCAGAGCATATAAGCTACATCTTCATAGAAACATATGATGTTCTTTTTTGTTCTTCTGTTATAAAAATATTTACTTGGTAGAACTTCAATTTTGCGACACGTTGCTTATTTCAAATGTATTACAGTTAATAGTCTCAGCCTTATTATAACTTAAGTTTATAGACATAAAACCAGCATATTGCATAGGAAAATATTAAAACCATTTGAAATTCCTCCTCCTGTGCCTTGATCTGCCTCACTTACTCCTGCACTGCAGTAGCTTCCTCATCCTCCAGTGATGTCCCTACATTTTCCATCAGAGAATCATCGGCTTCATCACTGACAACAGTGTTCCACTTGGTTGACCATAATGATTTACTTGAGCTTGTTTAAACTAACAGTCCATCTCTAGGAGGGGAAATGAGAACCCTCCATCTACGTTATTCATTTTCTGCACCAAACTTCCTGTGGGTTTTTTCTTGTGGTAGCTGGATGCATGGGTAAACCTAAAGGTGTGTTCCCCATCTTCTGCCTTGCATAAATTATTAATTGGATCTGTTTGGGATAAAAATCTTTCTTAATAAAATTTTAACCATATAAAAATATTGTTATCTAATGTGTTAAATTTATCAGGTCTCTAACGCCAATATCGGCCATGAACGAGTATCACAAACTTCAAGAATACTTGGTGTTGCCGAAAAAACTTAACTTTCTCACGGTACTACTCATCTTTATCCTTTAGCATGCCATTATTGAGTTTTTTACTGATTGAATTTTTATCCTCCAATTTGTTTTACTATAAGAATCTGGTTCCATATACCTAAATGCTTTTGCCTTAACTACTTTTTGCTACTGGTTGTTGTTCTTATTGCTGCTGCTCCATTACTCGAATAGTTATCACTAGAATCTGGTTCTATATAGATAGGTATGGCTGCCATTCAGTTTGGTCCATTTTATAACAAAATCTACAAGTAGAAAATAGAAAATAGGCTAACAGCATGAGTGGAGAAGATTTGTGCAAGTTGTTAATATGGATATGGGTCAAACGAACAAGCTTCCCATATGGTAAATCTTATACTTCTATCCACAATATAAATATTGCTGGTAGAATAAAGTAACCAGCCAAACAGAGCTGTCATCAGCCATCTTAAGGCCTTGATTCCGAGAATGCTGTAAAGATCCGGCAAATGGCATTAGCCAAACTGGCCTAACTATTTTTTTATAACTAGTAAATACACTTATTTGCGAGCCAAGCATCAGATATTGTAGTTTGGTACACAAAATGACATGACTACCAGTAGTCTTTACAAGAACACAACCGTTTACTGAAGCAGTGGAATCGATTAATATCCCTTACAATAATCTCCCTTCCATCCAACTTTGAAATGATTTTGATTGTCGTGTGCACAGTTGGTATATACGCACACATTTGG